GAGGTGATCAGGGTCTTTTTCTCAGAAACATTTACACCTCTGCATGATAATTTAGCATTAGAATCAATCAACACATTATTTATTTAAATGTATGAATTTGTGGATAAATAAGGTAGTTCCCAAAGCTCATGGTAGTTCGGTGTTAAATATCTCTCTATAATCGTCTAAAACACATGCCAGTCCTCCGCATATCACTGTAATTAACTCTTAACTCTAATTAAAAGGTGCTTTGAGGGCTATGCATTATTGCAGGTTTGTGGTGATGTTCTTTTAGGTGTGAGTTTAACGTGCATTGTGTAAATCACAACTAGCTGCTCTGATGCAATATGTGCAATTTATTTATTTATAGAACATAAGTGCAAATGTAAAGTGATTTATCTGTAAAGTGGTTTAGCAAAAACAGGTGAATCTTTTGAGAACAGCAGGCTGTATTTCATTCCAACAATAAACCAATAGAACAAAATATATATTTTGCATAAAAATGCCTATTTTAGTCCCATTAAATATTGTGACATTATTTTCATGACAATTAAGCACATCCTCATTACTGTAATGCATCCAGATTTTAATTTCCAAATTTTCTTAACAGTGGTTCAAATGACTGTAATACAGTATTTTTTAAATATAAATCAGCATTAAAGTGGTACATATATAGTGTTATATATATATAGTGTTGCTGTGGCTCAGTGGTAGAGCATTGCGTTAGCAGCGCAAAAGGTTGTGGGTTCGATCCCAGGGAACACACATACTGGTAAAAAAAAATGTATCGTCTGAATGCACTGTAAGTCGCTTTGGATAAAAGTGTCTGCTAAATGCATAAATTTAATTGTATATATATACTATAGTATATATATATATACTAACCCTAATCATGTTAACAACATGCTAATCATATTAGCATGATGTTAACATGTATGCTAGCATGTTTTAGTAAGATGTTAACATGATTAGCATTAGGCTAACACGATTAGCATATCATTAGCATGATGCTAACATGTTTTAACAAGGTAGTAACATCACTAGCATGATGCTTACAGGTTTAACATGTCATTAATATGTTTTTAGCAAGATGGTAATACATTATGATTAACATGTTTTTAGCATGATTTAACACTTCACTAGATGTTGCTAGCATGCTTTTAACATGTTCTTAGCATGTTTTAGCACTTAACAATGCTGGCATGATTTAACATATTGTTAGTATGATGCTAGCACATTTTGGCTTGTTTTGGTCATGTTTATACAATTACCTAAGATGTTTAGCATTTTTTTTAGCACTCTTAGCTTGTAGCTGTTCCCTGCTAGCTTGTGTAGCATGTTGGAAATCTTGTTTGCTAGCATGAGTCAAAAGAACCAAGTCCGATGTCTATACGGTGTTCTGATGTAGAGATATATAATTATTAAAATGTCATTACATTATTTAATATTATTTCATTATAAATTATTCTATGTTATTATAATTATTAATTGGATTTCATACTTTTTTATGCAAAATATATATATATTTTTTTCTTGGTACAGTAGGTCAAATAGAAAATATATTAACTCACACACCTGAGTCATTTATAGGGGCATCTGATTAAAAATTAAAAATACACTTGAAAAAAGTATTAATGCCACACACTAAATCAAAATTTATTTGCAACATTTGGCTCAGCTGAAACATATGTTGCTTAATACTAGGGTTGCAAAGGGGTGGAAAATTTCCGGAAACTTTCCAGAAATCCCTGGAATATTTCCAAAATTTACTGGACATTTTCCACCTTTTTGCAACCCTACCTACAACACATGCAAAAAAAAAAAAAATTTTTTTTTTTTTAAATTTTTGCGATGATGAAAGTTTGAGTAGTGTGCAAGATTTGTACATTGCTTTTTCACAAAGTGAAATATGACCCGTACATGCTCTTGACTGGTTTTGTGAAATTCACTCAAGTATTTTTTTGATCTCTTTATCTCTGTGAATTTCTGCCAGTGGTTCTGACTCAGCGTCTCATCTTATTTCCACCAAGCGTGCGTCTTTGTTCTTTTCCGGTCCTCCTGTTTCCACGGATCTCCTTCACTCACATCACACTAACAGGATTGGATTGTTTCCCGCGCACGTGTCTTAAGAGCTTTTTGACATGATTATATAACATACCAACCCACCTCTGAGTGATGCTGCTATGTCTTATATATAAAACATCTAGAGGAGGAACATTCAGTGTGCACCAAATAAAACCTATTTTCCTCTACATGGGGCCTTTGCTTCATTTAAAGCAGAAGATGGGTCAGTTCTGCTCCAAAAGCCACTAAAAATAAACCTCTCCACCAACGAGAGTGAAGCTCTGGCTGGTAATTTTAGCTGCGTTGTGTTCGGGGAATCCGTGCTGTTATTTAGGGCTGATGAAAGTTCCCTTTCTGTCTTACAGACTGAAGTGATGCTGACAGTCCTGCCCTCCAGTGAACAAATAATCACAAAAACGTGAGGATTTCTATCAGTGTTATCGGTTACTACAAGCAAAACTAATAAAAACAGTGAAATAAAGCTGGAATTAAAACAGAAGAATACATTTTAGATGAGAAACTATTTTAAAAAATGAAACGAAAATTAGAATGTTGGCAACTAACTGGAATAAAATTAATTGTTGAACTACTAAAAATAAAAATAAAACTGAAATAAAAATAAATTAAAGCTGAATTTAAATGTTTAAATTAAAATCTAATAAAAATGTCAAAAACATAACAAAATTACTAAAACAAACTAATGTTAAAATGAAAACAGAAAATATAAAAAATAAAGCTATATTAATAAATATAGGAGATATATAATAATAAATAATAATAATAAATAAAAATAAATTAAATCTAAATAGAAAGTTTGTGTCAAATGCACATAAAATTACTAAAACTTACATTAAAACATGAAAATATAAAAAATAGAACCTATATTAATAAATACTACAATAGTATAAAATTACTAAAATTAAAACTGAAAAAAAAATTAAAAAAGCTAAATGTAAATGTTAAAAAAAGCACATAACAAAATTACTAAAACCTGAACTAAAAAAAAAACATTTTGAAAAAATACAAATAAAATCTATATTTATAAATAATAACAAATACTAAAACAGAATGTAATAAATATTACTAAAGTAATGCATAGCGTTGTTTTTTTCATCAGGTCACAGAGCACATGAATAAAATATCTGGACGCATTACGGTAATACAGAAAATGTGCTTAAATGCTTTTAAAACTTACTCGTACTTTTAAATGTATTATTATTATTATTATTTTAACACCATGTCAGGAGCATGGTGAGAACAGTCAATTACAAAAGTCAGAGAATTATCAAAAAACTATATATAAAAAAATGTCTGATTAATATAAGAGAAAACTTGGAATATACTGTATGAGACGAATCATACTGATGAACATTTGAGATTTTCTGTGTTCTGTCGGAGATTGACAAGCCCTGGTCAAGATCCAGAAAAGAGCAGCATGAACATTTTGTTAAAAATCTCCTTTTGCGTTTCACAGAAGAAAACATACAGACACATTTGGAACAACATGAGGGTGATGTTTAATTTTTGTGAACTTCCCGTCTGTAAACCTGAAATACTGACACAAGAAACTATCTGAAAGGAGTTTGAGGGAGTGAAAACACCACAGTTTTCTGACACTTTCAGCGAGCGTGACGCTGTGACGGAGGATTCTGGGGTCAGCGCATCAGATCATGTTGTGTGTGAACGCGTGAGAGTGTGTGTGTGTGTGTGTGTGTGTCGTGCGAATGGACCGTGAGAAATTCTGCTGTCGTGTCTGACTGGAGGGATCAGATCGAAGCGACATCACACACACAGCAACAGCAGCAGAAATACACAGTGTCATAACACTGCATGTACTTTACAACCGGCGTGAGAAGAGAGCGAGGAAACACCCTTCTCTCATTCTCCACAACACAACACTCCACAATATCACTGCTTAGAAAATGCCATACAGTACATATTTAACAAATCTCAGCACTCAAGGCCGAATGGGTTTCCTTCAAGCATCTACGCTTTTAAACCACATGTGCTATTATTTAGGTCTGAACTATACATGAAAACACATTTATCACTGGACCGCTAAAAGTTTCTTACTTGCACAAGAGAAATCTTTTTGGCACACAGAATGCGAGCAAATACTGAACTGAGTTCTCATTCTTGCTTTTGAACAGACAAATGCAGCCAACGTTATGTCAAAATGCGAGTATACTCGTAAACACAGACGTTAATGTTTTAAGTGAACGTAAACCGTTGGAAAAGAAACCTGATGTGTATAATAATGTTGGATCCATGCATTAGGTCTTAAAGTGACAGCAGCCTAATATACCAGTCTTTTAATGTTAATTAAACAACAAAAGGAAAGAAGAGTACTGGCTTACACGGGTCAAAAATAACTTTATTAATTGATTGATTCTATGATATATATATAATTTTTTTTTTTTTTTGGCAGGTCAAGAAAAACTTTGAATCACTGGCCTAACCACGCCAAAAGAAAATAATTAATTCCTGAACACTTATTGAACCTGAACAACTAACTTTAGCCAACAACTGTTGATTCTGTTGATTACATTAATTAATTAATTAATTAATTAATTAATTTTATTTATTTAATATTTATTTTATTTTATTTATTTAAATAAATAATATTTTATTTTTTTACATTTATTTATTTATTTATTTTTTTGTGACGACAGGGCCATTGACAATTTTGCAAGGGCAAGTAAAAATCTCAACAACTGGCCTGACTGGGCCAGTAGAAAACATCCTTTACGTTGAGCCCTGAACACTTTAACCAACTTCAACCAACAACTGTTGATCCACCATGACAGTAGTTGCCCTGATAGTGAAAACTAACCACAGAAGAAGACAGCTTGTGTTCATGCCCTCTATAGCATGCCTTGTGGACACATTTGAGTAGGTTTATGGTTGTACTGATCTTAGAGTCTTTGTAAACCCTGCTGGTTAGTCTCCGCTCTTACCTGGTCCAGCAGCTGGTTATAGAGCTCATGGCAGTTGTCAAAGATGTATTTGTAGGTGGAGTCCAGACAGGCCTTCACACAGTCTTTAACCACCATACTGGCTCTGGGAGGATTCTGCAGCTCCTGCACCTGCAGCACAAAACACACTCACAGTCAGTCCTGTGTAGTTTGTAGTTTCTGTGGCCTTTCTGCAAAGTTTTCAGATTGTTGCTATGCTCTGTAGCTGCTAAGATGTTTTGTACTATTATGGTGTGTTCAAGTCCTCCTGGGAAGTGTGTATTTTTGAGTTGGAACGCTGTAATTATGAAGCCAGGTGTGTTCAAATTACTTTGGTTTCAGAACGTTGCTGATGTAAATTTTCTAAATAAATCAATAAAAAATACAGCAAGATTTTAAAACTACTTCTGCAATATTATGAATAAAGAATGCAGATTAGCTGTGATTTTGCTCATGTTTGTATTCGATAAGATATTCAGTTAGATAGATAGATAGATAGACAGACAGACAGACGGACGGACGGACGGACGGATAGATGATAGATGATAGATGGATAGATGGATAGATAGATGATAGAGGATAGATGGATGGACGGACGGACGGATAGATAGATAGATAGATAGATAGATAGATAGATAGATATTCAGTTAGATAGATAGATAGATAGACAGACAGACAGACAGACGGACGGACGGACGGA